CAGAAATCGTAAATTAATTTCCGAATAGCCTAATAATTTTTACCAAATTCTATACTCTCACTAGAGCATCACTCGACTGGATAAGGTAGCGTTGAGAGTGGACTCGCACTTATTTTCTCTCTTTCAAATGATGAAAAAGTTCTTTCGCTATTTTTCGAATTGCAACACTCACAAGCACTCCGTCAAGATATTAAAGAATTAGCGAATGTTTAACTAAAAATTCATTCATGTACGTTAATCTGCTACGGTCTGAGCGATTACCGCAGTGTAGTAATCCCATTCATTACGCGGACAGCCCAACCTAGCCAGAGGCTAGTTCGGCACCACCCAGGGTGAACAAAATTTCTCATTTCTTGAGGTTGGGATAATGGTACCAAACTAGTCCGAAGCAAGTGAACTCCTTCAATTTTAGGCGGAAATGCTCCGGTACAGCCATCTTAGGATTACAGTGAGCATTCACTTGACCAGCATTCAATTCATGACGAAGACAAAGAAATCCTAATCTAATTTTCTAGTATCAGACGAAGCCGCGTGCAAAAAGGTTCGAAGACGTTCGAGACGTTCGTGAGTGGTGGATGCTAGGAACCGTGATACATGAGATGTCGAGCCACACAATAAAAATAATTGAAAATCCTCTGCGGTAATCAGATAGCTTAACAGGAGCGCTATTGACCACAACAGATAAAAATAAAGGATGAAGCTCTTAACGTTGATCAATCCCTGAGGGATGTGCCATGCATTCGACTTCATTAAGCATCGTTGGAGGTGATTGAATAGATATTTGGCCTTTACAATGACTCGCGATGGCCTGTCGATGTATAGATCCAGTGCTGCTATACTCCTAGACAAGTCTGATACCAATTTGCCGACCGCGGAGGGATGGAAGGCTTGGTGAGTCACGGGCGCAGAGATCGATCCCATGTGTGTCGCAGTGCGCCAAACGCAAGCGCACGGAAGGCACCCGTATTGGAATTAATAGTTTTGCAATTAAAAATTGACACTATCTCAATTTTTTGCAAGTGGACACCTATATCGTGGCGGGTATAGCGCAGTGGTTAGTGGTGCCGTCGGTTACGGAGCGAAGGAGCTAGTTCGACTATACCCAATGCTTTCCCATTCCATGTGGCAAACCTTAGCTCAGCTATCTCCAACACTGTAAGGATAACGGCCTCGACCAGCATTTCACAAAATTCATAAACAGCATGAAACCCTCAAAGATTAGCCGGATCAACAAGCAAATGTTGGAAGACCACTGCAGACGGTGAATTCCAAGACATGAATCGAACGCAAGAGCTGGGATCTGCAGAGCAGATGTGATGACAGGTCACCTGAAACAAAAATTAATAGAAAAAACACCTGCAACACCACGCTCTGAAACTTACATATTTTATAGTCTTCCACTTGTGTTCACTGTCCTCTAGTTCTCACTGAAAATTCCCCAGGCAGGTAGATATCAGACATTATCATTTTAGACCACCCAAGAGAAAACCGTCTCTGACCTAGAAATTCCAACCAAACAAAGGAATCCAAACGCATAAAATTAATAAAATGTTACAAAACCCGAACGAATCCTCACGGCTCCAGTCTTATTGGATTAAATCCTTTTTTCGTAGAATTCTTACTGAATTTTCAATAAAAGAGGCATATCTAAACCTTACTCTAATCCTACTTTCCAATAATTCTGTAGTCAACCCTGCTCATGAATAACAAGCAGTGGAGTTTTGAAATGATACGGACAAGACCCGAGCAATGTCCTCATCAGTCATGACACTCTTGTTAAAATTCGTATGAAGTGCTGAGATATTTGCAAAACTCCGGACCACAGGTGTATGCAGTGGGGAACGAACACGCGCTGTTGTCCTTACCGGGGAGCAGCGCACTTCACCACTACACCATCCGGGTCTCCTCATCGCTTTGCATGCATCTCAGCTAGTTCTATCGATCTTTTTTCGCCATCAGCAATCACCCGTCAACGAGATTGATCTGGGGAGCCAATATCGGCATTGAACCCAGTTAAGCTGAGGCCTCGTTATAATCACAATCTTAACTCTTTTATTTACTGCCTTTTTCTTCTTAATGGCAGGGTATGTTGTGTTATACTCTTGTTATAATTCTTTCTAGTTCTGTTCAGCAAACACGAGGTTTTATTTTATTTCTCTATTTACGTACTAGCTGACGTTTCGGCGGATTTCGCCTTCCTCAGAGCCTGGAAAGGTCAAGTTGACTGCAATCTACACCGCCAAACATCTCCATAACCAAACAGAGAAAATGCTGAACCAAAATTTCAATCACATTGAACCCAGAGGTTTTGCACACTCACCGCTTTCTATGAGTCTTCCACTAAATATTTCACGTGGAGACCAACCGCAACTCTTGTTAAATGTATAGAATGGAGGACTATACTCACCCGTGCACACACAATTGCACGAATCTCAAACTAAATCCCTTCGATGAGCCTCTTTGGTTGACGAACAATGACTTTCTTCAGATGTCTCAATCGTCACTCTATTCTTCAATAAGTAGTGACTACCACATAGTTGTTCTACCAAGGCAACCAAAACAAAGGGGAGCATATCGTTGGTGCTAATAAGTAACACAACCCTGATCTCGTCCATATAATCTTCTAAACTACAAAGTCACTAAAATACTTCTACTAACTAACAGAAATATAAAATAGCAAGATATTTAGTAAACTACTCAATAATCGTAAATCTACAAGCTCTTGACGAAGATTATCCTCTCGCGCATATCAAGGACATAGATGAGGCGCAACCACTCGAGTGTCAGAACTGCACTACGAAAATACAGCTTTTCCATTGCCCTCTTACAATACCCATAAGAAAAGGGGATCGACAGGGCCACACAATATCGCTAGAGCTGTTCAGTGCTGCACTGCAGTGGATAATGAAGTCATCCGATTGGGATGAGAAAGGCATACGTTTTGATGGAAAATTCCTATCAAACGTTCGTTTTGCCGACGATATTGTCACCTTCTCAAGAAATACCAACGAAGCGGAGATTATGATCAACAAGCTCAACGAAGCGCGCGAAAAGATCGGACTTCGCATAAATCGAAAGACCCAGTTCATGAAAAACCCACGATGCGAAGGCAATTTATCCAAAACGCCTCGAGAGTTTCGCGCGTTGATGACTTCGATTCCTGTGCTAGGATCCGCACAGTCACTTCGAAATCATTGCCGTTGTGCTTTTGTGGCCTATGTGCACCTAGAGGAGTGTTCTGACGAATTTTAGTTTTCCCATCTAAATGTTCTTTTATGCGGACACAAAATGGTCTACCAGCTTCTCCAATATATTCTCCGTCGCATTCGTTACATGAGATCAAATATATTATACCTAAACTCATGCAATCCCGTCTGCCCCGTTGGGACAGATCATAGTTTCCTGAGCTCCACAAACGATCATAGAGACGGTTATAAAATACTTGATCTCATGTAACGCATGCGGCGAGGAACATATTGGGGAAACGGGTAGACCACTTTGTGTCCGCATAAAAGAAATGTTTTGAAGTGAATGTGCGGATCCTAGCGCAGGAATCAAAAACATCAACGCGCAAGACTCTTGAGGCGTTTTGGATAAATTTCAAAAATCCAAACATGAACCGGAAGGACGAATGCCTCACTATCACGCATGACCTGGCTCCCTATTTCAAAATGATATTTTGACCCCGGGAAGTGTCTTGCTCGCGACTCCACGTGAACTACGTGTGGGCCAGTCCCGCACGTAACATCACGGTGAGTGGCCTTTCCGTTCAATATGGCGTCTATTTGAAAGTTTGATCTTCATTAACATTTTAACCTTTCTTTTCCACCGAATAATCGTCCAGGTTCTGAGGAAGGCGATGTCACGGAAACGTCGGCCGTCAACCAACAACATCAAAAACAATGACAACGACAACGAAGATCTGCACCAACCTCGCGCCAGCTTAAGAAGATCAGTTTATAAGATCACGTAAATAAATATAATCGGCACTCTCAATATGTAGCCGGAATGCGAAACTCTGACCTTCGAAATCTGTCATATCTTCGAGATCCAGGATAATATACATCGACAGCGAAACATAGATGGACCGGTCACATAATGAGAAGAACAAACGACAGATGGACGAAAACAACTGCAGAGTGGAGTCCAAAGGGATGCAAACGTTCCTTAGACGACCACCTACACGACGGGCGGATATGTTCGTAAACATGGTTAATCAGCTGTTCCCGCAGCTGCAGTAGTTTTACAGATCACGGTATCAGAATCGCAAGCGCTACCATACTCGAACAAGACCACCACCACGGACAACGATTGCGAGAGAAAGAAACGAATGGCACATGTGCTCGGGTCCGCACAACTCGTGAAGACGGACCGTCCAAGTATTCAAGTACGTAATCGAAAATCAGGAAATTGAACGAAATAACCTTGTCTGAACGAAATAAAACGCTTAGCATATGCTCACCTGTCCACATTCATGGAAATATTATTCTTGACGAGTATGGAGATAAAAAATCTCGTCAAGCAAAACAAATATGTGTGAATTTGAAACTGTTTGAAAAAACAAAATGCAAACAGATCAGAAACAATGGAATTGTTATGACAATGGTAGCATGAAAAAAAAATGGAAAATAAGGGATGAACAGAACGAGAAAGAGGACGAGGAAGACGAACAGATAGAGACAAAGCAGTTTCCAAAGTTCTCGATAAGGAAGGCAAAATGGTCTCGTTAAAATCAACAACCATTACAGTAACATTTAATACACACTCTCATTAACTAAAGGCATTCTAGATGAAAGTGAAGTAGATTTCAGTAAAAGAAAAACCGGCAAATATACATATAACCATAAAAGCGCTAGGAATGGATCATAACCATTTGTGGTACACGCCAAAAGGAATGTTGATATGAGTAGACATGAACAACACATCATTATTATTAAAAAATATATAAAGAAACAAAAAACCACAAACAACAGACTCGTTATGTATTTAGCTGTTCGACTTCACTCCTGAAGTTTCAAATCCTCTGGTGGATGCTGTGGAATAGCTTGTCTAGTGTTTTTCTCTCGAAAATATGGAATACTAAACAGCATCATACCCGAGACCTATAAAACAGAATACCTTAAAAATAGCAGTGAAGATTTTCGTACTTCCCCTAAAAAAACAGGAAAAGCCTAACTCACCAGTAAATTGACGCCGCAGAACACAAATGACCAGACGTAGGTGTTCGTTAGATCAGCGAGATATCCCGATATTGGTGGTCCAAAAACCGTCCCAATACCCTGAAAGGAAAACGAATGTTGAGAAAAATAACAAAATATAGCTACAATGATGCTGAGATATTTGGAAAACTCAGGACAGTAGGTGTATGCGGTGGGGTCGAACACGCTATTACCCTCGCCGGAAGCTAACGGGTTCACCACCACGCTATTGGTATCCTTCGTTTCACTTTCTCTCAGCCGTGCTTTTTCAAGAAAAAATAATAATGAAGTACTTTTAGAGAACCGAATTAAACGAATTCTTATGATATTTACATCGAAACTAACTCTAACGACTTTGTGATTACCTGCCATAGTAGAAGAAGACCGAAGGCGTTAGTAAGCTTTTCGAGTCCAAGTATGTCAACGAGAATGACACTCGTTAAGCAAATATAGGAGGAAATGGAAAATCCAAACAGCCCAGCATAGACAGAAAGCGAAATGAAATCAGAACAGAGGTAGCAGAATGCTGTGAGCACGCCGCAAAGCTGTAAAATGTCTCATTCACATGAAATATGATATCACTACATTTACAGTGCAACAATACTGCATGAAACATTTATATACAAATATATATATATATTTTTATTTATATGACCCGTCTTCCACACTTCTGTGCGGATCCCAGCACTTCTCGTATTCGATTCGTTTGCTCCCATCCATCATCCGCGAAGGTCCTCCAACTTTTTACGCCTCGGTTCTACTGCTGCTTCAAGATTTTCTCTTCGTCATGAATGTCGTTGAACGCTGGTGGAATAGATTCTCCCTAGAGTTCTGAGACAACCACGGTAGAGTGTTCTGACTTGAATTTCAGATAGCAAACCTTCCCAGACAAGACTGGTACTAATTTCCCGACCATAGAAGGATGATAGGCTTGGTGAATCTGGAATGGGATCGAACCAGCACCGTGCTCATGATGATCAGCATCACTACCACTGTGCTATCTGCCCCCAACATATACATGAACAAACATATGTGATTTATATACATATATATATATATATATATATACAGACAAATTCATGGCTTTTTGTCGTTGTGCAGCACATACCACAACCAGTCATAATGATGTTATAACGGAAAGAAGCTTTCTCGTTTAATTGCCGAGTAGCTAGTTCGTGTACATGAGCAAAACTTGCCGAAAGTGATATGTTATATATCCAAAGCCTATTCCTGGCTGTATCTTCTCCAAACCCGTATGGCAGTGGCAGCCTGTGGTCAGCAACGACGCCGAACACGATACGACCAAGAGTGTTACACAACCCTGAGAAAGAGTAATCACAAACAGAGAAGTAACGCGAACGTATTAGAAGAATTACAACCACTCACCAAAAACGGAAAGAACTCGAGATGACCTGACCGTATCAAGCCCAACACCTTTCGTTGCATGCAAAGGCAAAAAATACAGTGGAGAGTTGAAGCCAACCGATGTTAAAAGATTCGATATGGCAAAAATGAGGAATATCGGGTCAAGAAGAAGAGAAAGAGAGAGCATCTTTGATATCGTCCTAAGAAGAATTAGTACTCAATAAATTAAAAGCAATATACAGCCAAACAACTAACCTAAACATATGTTTACCCTCTGTATTGTCAGTATTGCTATTATCTTCTGAAACTTCTTCACTCGCTTCTTTCACTTCTTTCAACTTTTCAGCAGACACAGAAACTGTTACACTCGCCGTTCGCCTGTGCAACGACCCTGTGGACCTCAAAATACGAATTACCGTAATGTTTTTTGAAACCGCTTTCATTTGTTATTTTCAAAGACAGACTATAAAATTTTACCTAAATTTGTCAGGATGTTCGTTGAACTCAGTAACATTTGTAATAGATCCGGTGTAGAATACATCCTTCCTATTAAGGTATCCCACATCTCTTTCACCGACTGTCTCACAACGTTTCCGCCTTTTAGTTTGGTCTGAAGAAATAATTCAGTACTAAACTGCCGCTATTGCATAGTAGTGATTATCAGCCACACAACTTAAGTCCTGTAGGATAACGAACAGGTAGAATCGTTCTTTAAAAGAATAAAAAAGAATAAAGCTCCCGGCATTGATCAATCCCTGGGAGATGCGCCACGTATTCGACTTTATTAAGCACCGTTGAAGGTGACTGAATGCAAATCTGGCCTTTACAATGACTCGCCGTGGTCAACCGATGCATCGAGCCAGCGCTACCATCCTCTCAGACAAGTTTGGTATCAGTTTGCTGGCCCAGGATGGATGGACAGCTTGGTGAGCCTGGGGCGCGGGGCTCTATCTCGTGTGTATTGCAGGGCGCGCCGAACACGCGCCCAAATCTTTTTTAGCAAATGGAAATCGGATAAGAATGTACTCACGCTCTTCAGCGTCAGTAGGTGAAATATCCACAAGTGATTTCGCATCTCTCAAAACTTGAAGGCCATTCGAATTAACCTGCTTTTCATATGTCAGCAGCGCAACAGTCTCCTAAAACCAACAGACAAACTCTATTACATTACAACACCAATAGCTATCAAATATCACATCACCCCAACAGTAGTACGCTCAGCTTTTTTTGCTTCTTCTATGTCGTCAATTTCATCACTGTCGTGGATTTCGCGAAATTTTAAGGGTCGAAATGTCCATCCACAAAGCACGCATAGCCCCAAAATTCCTGAAACTCCAGTATTTTTTAACCCAAAGCAAGCGGTTCGCCTTTTCTTCTGGAGTACACTTCAAAAAACGCACAAGTGTGAATTAACACGAATAGCTTAATACCAAGAAATGCAAGAAACACAGCTCTCCATCCATAGTGAGTGATAATGTATTCATTGATTGGCGAGAACAGCACTGTACCAACGCCAGCACCAGCAACAGCGAATCCAGTTGCTAAGGAACGACGTCTAAACAACGTCAAACGTTGAAAAGATTTGTTTAATATCAACTTCCATTTGCTGCCTACTACAATTTTTCAAGGCATGGTATCACGTGAAATACAACCACAATGATGTTGAGATATTTGCAAAACTACGGACCACAGATGCCTGCGGTGAGGACCGAAAACGTTACTCTTTCCGGGGGTTAACGCGTTCAACATCACACCATGCGGATCCTTCGTTTCACCTGTCCCTCAGCTAATTTCCTATCTGCCAGTGCTATCGGCGATCAACCGTCGGCGGAAATCATCTGGGAAGCACAAATCGGCATTTAAACCCGTTAAGCTGAGGCTGCAGTAGAAATCACAATGTTAACTTTTTATCTGCTGCCTACTACAATTTTCACGGCAGAATTTCAAGCCCGGCAAAGGTAATAGTGTGTTCGATGTCCACTGCAGACACCTGCGATCTGGTTTGCGAATATCTCAGCACCATTATGGTTGTTTCCTTTAAAAATAGAAGAAAAGGATTGATCAATTAAACATACTTTTCGAAATACATTGTCACAATGACAATGGCCGGACAGTACATGAGACCAAATCCAATACCCATTATCACTCCGACTGAGAAGACAATATGCCACATTGCCGTCGCAAAGTACGACATGGCGCATCTACATATACAATTAAAAAAAATAAAAGCATTTACTAAGAAGACGTACCCAATAGAAGCAATGAAAGCTCCGACAATTGTTGTTGTCCGACATCCGTATTTATTACACACAGCGGATGCCAACGGTCCACTTCCAAGTGTAAGACCAGTCAGTAGTGAAATAATCATCGCACATACCGTATTATCCGAATTGAATTCCTAAAGAAAGCCTTCCACAAACTGCAAGCAACACAACTACCTTACGGCTAACTAATGGTAGTGTATAGTGAGATATATTTAGAGACAGAAAACTAAGCAATAAAGCATAGCTGCATCTAAGTCAAACAGGAGGACCCACACCCTAAATTCAAATACTTTGTTTTTTGAAAAGTTTTTACTTTGATGCTAGAGAACGAAGCAGTTTACCCCACAATGGCCTTTCCATTAGCCTCAGCACTGATCCAATAATTCTTTATACTCTTGTTAACCAAACACGAGACATTACTTCATTCTTCATTGATGGAAAAGCTAACATTTCGGCGGATTTCGAAAGGAGCTCACGACTCGTTTAGATTTCTTGACGCTGGTACATATAAGGCCGTTGGATGAAACAAAACAACCGATAGCATCGGTGAGCGACAAGAATGGAAAAAGAGGTTTTGGAAAGATAATACAATTAAGCGTGTAGCGCAATGGTCGGTGGCACCCTGCAATACACAAGGGATCGATCCCCGTGCCCCAGGCTCAAAAGCCTCTCCGTCCCTCCGAGATCGGTAAATTGGTACCAGACTTGGCTGCGAGGATAGCAGCACTGACTCGATACATCAATAGGCCACCGCGAGTCATTGTAAAGACCACATATGCATTCAATCATACAATTGAAGGCACGGCGCATCCCACGGGGACTGATCAATGGAGAGAGCTTCATTCTTTATTTTTTTACTACAATCAAGCGATATGGTCATTGAGCCGATGTGGATCATACGAGAGTACTTTGGAACTAATAATAGCATTACAGTACTGTTGACTAGAAAACATGGAAACATTTGTGAAAATTTTTTAAAAAATTGTAAACAAACCTTTATGAGGACTTCAACGAGCACACCAAATGAGTACACGAATCCGTCAGCGAACACATGGACGAAAAACGAGCCCATCACTACAACCCAACCCCAACCACCATCCGGTGGTATTGGCACCAATTTGCTAGTCCTAGTAGACGAACCCTCCACTGCCATTCTGATATATGATTCTAATAACTCTTAGGCATCGAAATAAGGTTTCTAAAGCACTAAAAAGCGAAAAATCAAAGTATCTCGCTACTACCAAGCATAACAAACACTTTGGAAAATAGTAAACTCATAACGATAAAGCTAAGGATAAAGTTTCATGATACAAAGCAACGTCAGTTCTTTCAGTACAAGCAAGAAGAAATGAGGACCGTATTGTTACAGTACAGCGAGAACATCCTTTACAACCTCGATGAGATAGAAAGTACTAAATTTGGAAGTTAGGAATGAACTCATTAGTCTTAGCTTAACAGTACAACTCCTAATTTCAAGTAAACAAAAGACCAAATGTCTTACTTATTCTGCTTTAAGAATGATGGTGAAAGTTGTGAATGGACTTGGCTCTGTATGAACGATACTTATAACCTAGCTTTTCACATCTACTTCTTAGCACACTCTCCTTTAAATTTGAATAACCGGTCGATATACTTGCAGTATGGACATAATGATGTGTTACACAAAAATCCTTAGTTATTAGACGATAAAGAACCCACTATGACTGATAGAGTGATAAGAAGTTAGATGAGAATCCATCCAAATTCCCTGACTAGCCAGTTTCTTTTCATTTTACAACTTGGTTTTCCTCCATTAGAATGTTAGAAAGCAACGTTGCAGATACTCCAAAGGCCGACTTTCTATTAAACGCGACACTGATCAATGATTTTCGAGAAGATGGCTCACTGAGGAAGACCTGACTCGACACGAAGGCGAAACTGCAACGTCGAGACGAATAACAAGCATGGACCATCGACTCGGATCATCGGCTCTGAGGAAGACGAAGACGTCGAAACGTTAGCCGAAAATAAATAAATATCATTATCAACCTTGTGTAAGCTCATCAAAGAAAGAATACATATTGATTAGTGACACCGAGGTTCAAGGAAAGTCGGTTTCGAAATATTACTGATCAATGAATTCACTGTTTCCGTGATGAGCACATATGAGGTTATTAACAATAAGAGTTACTCAGTACAATACCCGCTGACGTTTCGGAGGTTTCCCCTTATTCAGAGTCTGGAAGAGTAAACTTAACACGCAACCCACTCAGTCAAACAGCACCATAACCTAAGCAGAAAAAAATTCGATATATGAATTTTCATAAAAGTTTGTAAACAACAAGTAAAAATAAATGGAAGTCCTTATAAAAAATTATGTATCAAGTTTTTTCTGCTGAAGTTATGAAAGGGCTTGACTGAGTAGATTGCATATCAATTTGGCTTTTCCAGGCTATGAAGAACGTGAAATCTCCAAAACGTCAACCACTTTTGTCCTGAATAAATCCTGTTGTTAACAACCTCGCGTCTGCTTATCAGGAAAACACTACAGATTAGATCGAAGTACCGATGAATGATTAAGAAGTTGAAAAGTCCTTATGCAGCAAAAGAGATGGAATCAATGCAAGCCTAAAAGAGTTCGTTGCTTCGTTCCAATGAAAGCAAGCAACTGACCACTACACCAGTTACGATAAGCATTCACATCTGTTCACACTCTGATGGAAAAAGAGCGGGAAAGCGCAAGTGTAAACAAGATGGGACACACTCTTTTATGTTGAAATATGTGGATGTTAGACGATTGACGCCACACTCCTAAAGAAGGAAATAAAGAGTGGTGGTCTCTATGGATTTTTATCAATAAATCTTAGTCCACAGAGGAACGCTGTTCAGCTCACACATCGTTCGAGCTACGGATAATGTTTGGAAATAAATATTGCAAAACAGGGAAACAAACGTAAAGAAAGTGGCATCCATGAAGTGAAATACGTTTCTAATCCAAAATGAACAATGAAGGTAAAAGATTCATTTTATAAATTTTATAATAGAAGTAGCGAAGATAGGTCTACACGTACTACAAGGATACTTAGAAAAAACGTCTTCACAAGTCATTTGGATCCAGAACCCCTTCCACACAATACAATGCTGTTTGAAATCCATTCATAAACGGATTCGTTCATGGGATTTCATGAAGCTTATGGCTGAATTCCCCATGAAGAAAGCGGTCAGTAAGCTCTTCTTTACACTCGTCGTCAACGGCACTTCATATTTTACGATTTCAGTAAACGGGTGCACATGGACAATTAGAACAACTTTGTCGTGAGGCAGCATCTATTCATATACTGAGGGTGAGCGAATAGATGTGTGAGTTATTTGTTAGCGAAAACATCGGATCACCTCCGATGTACCTTCTATCGGTTGCAGACTTTTGATCAAAACAACATTCAGCCTACGATCCACAGGCACGTAAGGATATTCGTACTACGGATATATCGATATATATATAAGGAAGGTATAATATAGTGATTGTAACAAAAACAGTGAGCGTATCTTCTGAATTCCCACACATCTCAGGCAAGCATAAGGTTGAAATTAGTTGAATCACTTCTCTGGACCGCAACCAATAAGTCGATACCACTCATAGAAGAAGATTAGTGAGTAAGGGATCATACTAAAAGAAGCCGTCGGCGTTGATCAATCCCTGAGGGATGCGCCATGCATTCAACTTCATTAAGTATCGTCTGGAGGTGATTGAATGCATATCTTAGAAAGGACTGAGTTCACAGCAGTGAAGAGCACTTCATTTCTTTTGCATTGGTCAAAATGAAAAAGACAATTGTCTAAAAGAAAATATAGCTTAAAGTTTTCGACTTTTGTACATCCAAGCATAAATTACTTCATAGTTGATACTTGACACTTGAGCGGCCCGTCCTCACTAGTTGTGCAGGCCTCAGCATAATCACCACTTTTCGGAGATTTCCTGGTTAAGCCAGTGTGGTTCCCTGGAATCCCGAGGTCAGCCTGGCCAGTTTGCCCCAGGTCTTCACCACCACGGGAGTCGCAGCCGTTGTGGATCAGAGGGAGATTTGCCACCATGCTACTTTGATATCAGGACGGTGGCGGATCCTGGTATTGGTTTACTCTTAGCTAGGCTTTCTGATGGAAACGCCGGACTCCTTCTCAGCTTAGGAGACCCTGCCGTGGGGAGGAATCCCCTCGCTACACAACGCAGACCAACACTCGGGAACACCTCCCAGCCACGATGAGGCGGTAAACCGTTGGGAGGACCCAATCATACATTAGGAATACAAAACAAGCAGTATCTACTGGATAGAAAGAATTGGAATATTTCGAAAAAATCTAACTAGTTTGTTTCTACTTCTAACTGTTGTACAATAGCGTGATACAGTTGAATGAAGTCTAAATCTGATCCACTTCTGCTCTTCTCTTGTCTCAAGCATATAAGTGAACCCACATTACTTCAGATAGTCTCTTTACCAAAAATAACCTAAAGATGAAAGATTAATAGGGCGCAAAAACCTCACCCGGAAAATCACAAAGCATAGAAATATTGAGGAGACGAGAAAATGGACACACACAGAAGTTTAACGCTAAGTACAAACCCACTAAAGAATCATTATGTATAGATACGTAATCGCTGGAGGAATCTCCGTACCAAAACGGTCGAGAAAATTCCTATACGAAGCTGCGTGTTGATATCGGTAGGGAATGATGCTGGCAGAAGACACTGAATGACTGATGGGAACGAAAACGTGACACCCGACACTCTCAGACCATTGCGTTCTGCACTACAGAATCGAAACAAAGGATTGGTATGATGCCATAACGTTAGTTAAAAATTTACAGCAAAAAACCTGAGTAAGTAAATTTGATATTGCTGTCCTTCACTATGCCATAAACCAGAACCATAAATCATCGAAACGATGGCTACAATATTAAGAAAACCTTTTTCCATAAACCAGATGATCAGATTTAGAAACGTAAACTTTAACTGTTTAATACTATTCAGATTTTTTTGGCGCAGAATCGCCGTCAATGTACCTGACGAACCGTTTGGCACAGAGCTGTCCTAAACTCTTTGGAAGAACTTAAGAACATTTCCACCTAATAACACTTAAGGTCCAATGAGCTATCACCTACAAAATAAAATCACAAGTGACGGTCTATAATGCTGAGATATTTGCAAAACTCCAGACCGCAGGTGTCTGTGGTGGAGAACGAACGTGCTATTGTCCTTTCCGGGAAGCAACGCGTTCACCGAAACACCATGCGGGTCCTTTGTTTCGCCTGTCTCTCAGCTAGTTCTATCGATCTTTTGCCATCAGCAATCACCCGTCAACGGTCACTGCGGTCTGGAGTTTTGCAAATATCTCAGCATTATAGACCGTCACTTGTGCTTTTATTTTGTAGGTGATAGCTCATTGAACCTTAAATATTATTAGGTGGAAATGTTCTTAAGTTCTTCCAAAGAGTTTAGGACATTACGTTTCTTCCATGAGGTGTTTACTACTGCTAGTGCTAGTACATGATTGGTAGGTGGCTCTGTGCCGAAACGGTTCGTCAGGTACATTGACGGCGAATCTGCGCCAAAAAAATCTAAGTAGTATTAAGCTGTTAAAGTTGACGTTTCTAAATCTAATCATCTGGTTTATGAAAAAAGGTTTTCTTAATATTGTAACCATCGTTTCGATGATTTATTGTTCTGGTTTATGGCATAATGAAGGACAGCAACGTCAAATTTACTTACTCAGGTTTCTTGCTGTAAATTTTTAAGTAACATTAGGGTATCATACCAGACCTTTGTTCCGAATCTGTAGTGCAGAACGCAATGGTCTGAAGGTGTCGGGTGTCACGTTTTCGTTCCAATCAGTCAGTCATTCCGTGTCTTCTGCCAGTGTCATTTCCTACCGATATCAACACGCAGCTTCAGCTTTCTACCTAAAAACACTTAAGGTTCAATGCGCTATCACCTACAAAATAAAAACACAAGTGACGGTATTTTCTAGTACAATTCCTCGAAAAAGGTTAATGTATTTCGTCTCTTTAGAGAACAATAACTGCTAGAACAAAACCGAGGTTAACATAAAGTCGGTCTTACGAATTATAACTGACTTCCAATAATATGGTCAACAAACCCTTAGCGAAATTAGGTTAACC